AAAATTAAAGTGCATCAAAGACCTAAATGTTCAAATAGAAACACTTACTCTACTGGAAGATAAGTAAAACTCTTGAAGTTATAGACACAAGCAAAAGTTTTCTGAACATAATAACCTTCATTGCACAGGACATCGTACCAAAAATCAACAAAGGGGATCATATGAAATTTATAAAGCATTTGCACACAGCACAACAATCAAGAGATAAACTACAGGATGGGGGGGAAAAAAACGGCAATACTGCTCAGACAGAGGACTAGTATCAGGAACATATGAACAACTCAAAAAGTTACATCCCTTGAAAACAAAAAATCCAATCAAAAAATGGGGAACTTAAGTGAGTAGAATAGACACTTCTCAAAAGTAAAAATTAACATAAATACATGAATAAATGTTCAACATAGTAGGCTATGAAAGAAATGCCAGTTAAAACAACACTGAGACTTCATACTACCCCAGAAAAGATGCCATTATCAAAAAATCAAGCCAGGAATATTGCTCAGCAGCATAAGCACCTGCCTGGCAAGCACAAGGTCCTGAATTCAATTCCTGATTTTAAAATATCAAACAATAACAAATGCTTATGAGGATATTTCACACTAGCACAATCACTATGAAAATCATTATGGCAATTCCTCAAAACACTAAAACTAGAAATCCCACTTGATTCAGCTAGTTTTCTTTTAGGTATCTTCCCAAAAGAGATGAAGACATCACAGTGACACATGGGAACCCATGTTTAGAGCAGCTCAAAATAGTTGTATCTTGGGGTAAACCTATATGTCCATCAGCAGGTGAATGGATAAGGGAAACGTGCTGTTTATACACTATAAAGTACTACTCTGCCATAGGAAGAATAAATTTGAATCATTTGTAGGAAAATGGATGTATCTTGAGATCATAATGTTCTGAAATAAATCAGATACACAAGTTTAAACGTCATGATGTTTCTATTATAAGAGAAACTCAAAATATATGTAAAGAGAAAAATAAAAGACACGCAGTACAAAGTGGTAAAATAGATCTTTCTCAAATGGGAAGGGGATCAAGAGATGGATGGAGGGGAGAAGGATGGAAGAGAAAGAGTATGTAGAAAGAATTAAAATATGGTATGTACACATGCTGATTCCTCACAAGGAATGTAAACATGATGCATTTTGAATATATGCTAATAAAAATAAAACAAGTTACGAACATGGTGTTTGACAAATCAACCCACACAAGACTAGAGAAATTTAAAGTTTGTAGTGCACTTGATAGCATCAAGAAAACCCAAACTCAAAATAAGCAGTGGCTTAATTGATTCTACAACGTGGCCTAAAAGAAAAGCCGTACAACTATTTCCTCAGTCTCCAGGGAAATACTGAGGGATAAAGGAGCATTATGTCTGAAGGTTTTTCTCAGATGGGAAAGAGAGAGAAGAAGAGAGAGAGAGACAGAGAAAGAGAGAGAGAGAGGATTACAAAGCCAACAGAGAAATATATTAACAATTGGTAAAGAAAGCTGGGTAAAGGGCACACAGGAACATTGTGAAAGGAATATTATAAAATATAATCTCGCAACTTCTGGGGTAAATTTGAAAAATATTTTTTTAAAGAATCAAGAAAGGGGTTTACTCCTGAAATTAACAAGATCCGGGGCAACAGGCTACATAGCATTAAGCACAAGGCACAAACAAGATGCAGAAGAAACAGAAATAGAAAAGGCCTAAGACCAAGCAAGGCGACAGAATGTGAGAATACAATGAAAGCAGCAGAACAGAGCTTCTCAGAGACAGCCACCCTCTGGTGACAGAGCACCACGGATGGAGTGAAAGCACTTCAAAGAGCTTTTGAAAATAAAACGGAAGCTAAGGCTGCAGCCTCCTGCAGAGGAGCACACAGCTCACTGCCTTGCGCATGCCCTGAGAGATGAGGAGGTGTGCATGGGGGTTGAAGGACACATGACTATGTTTGTGATCTCCATCAAGCCCCAAAGAAGCAGTAAGTGTGTCTATACAATGAGGCAGTAAACACTCTGAGCAGAATAACCAGAAAACATCAAATGAACAAACATTGTTTTTTAAAAAGTATACCTTTCCCCTCCCTGCTCAGTACACAGTAATCTACAACCAACAGCACCTACGTTCACACACGGCAATACATACATCTAACAGTCCACGCAGTACATGCAACGCAGTATGTATGAAACGATTGGTGTGAATACCAATTTAAAAAGATAAAAGATAGGGATATAGCTCAGCGGCAGAGCACCTGCCTGGCAAGCATAGGCCCTAAGTTTGATTCCTGGTACAAAACAAAACAAACACACAAAGAGGAAAAAAAGAAGTTTATTCACAGGGTAGAAAACCAGTTTATGGTATTTAGTGAAGAAGTTTGGGGACACAGGAGGTAGAGCTGGAGTTGAAAGAGCAAAGCTGATTCTATTATTCTTGGGCTCCATATTTGTGAATTCACCTCACCAAAACGGTGTCACCTCAGAATCAGACTCTACAGTGCTCTCGAGGTCATCTGAAGACTGCTCCGGGAAGTGGGTATTTTGAGTTGCACGTGCATGCTCTGACCTGAGGTCAAACAACATTCTGCCTTCCTGTTTTAGCTCTGGTGCTATTAAAGGTATTCTCTTTGCAGTCTGCTTAGTGACACAATGGAGCATTTTTGTGCTTTGTGGTTAGCGACTTTGCAGTGTGAAAGGGACCCCAAGGCACACTGTGGAAGCATTGCCTGGTGCCCCTAAGCACAGGACGTCTGCAAAGTGTTTAAGGACGAGCTGAGGACCCACTTCATGGTACACGCAGGCAATGATTAATATCAATAAATTTTTCATAAAAATAAAGTGAGAGTCTATCCTAGCCTGGTGGCTGGCTTAAGCACAGATTAATCTTTAAGCCAATGGTCAGAGCCAAGGCCTATAATCAGTCTAGGAAGTTCAGGTGCCTCAAAATAAGATGACATGGCTGCTGAGGACTTTGACACATGCAAATTCTGTCCAGCTAAGTAATCCAGTTAGCAATCCTGTTACCAGTTAATAAAGATCTCTTCCTGTGTGCTTACCAAAAAAAATGCATCATTCCTCAATTCTTGAGCCTTGCCCATGTCAGAATTTCACCCACATTGCTTCCTGCAGCTCAACAGCACCCCCTCACACACCAACCAGCTGTACTTCTAACAAAAGCCAAAGACTCCCCATGCCTTGTGGTCTTAGTCTGTTATTGGACTTTGACCATCCTGATGCTCCTTATAACTAAAATACATGTTGCATCTGTGTTTTATTCTGTTGTTGTACCTCTGAGCAGGAGATTAATGGTCCTAGGCCTAGACTCCAATAAGGATGTATCTGTCATCTACTTTGTTCCAGCATGAGTTACATTGCCACTGGCCATGAGTTCAGTGTTGATCGCTCGACAATGTATGTTAAATGTCTTTCAACAGAAATGCAAAAAATAGGTTATGTATCGATAGGTGAACAGAGGCTTGCCAGAACCTAACTCTGTCTTTCCCCTGGGAGGAATGGTTTCACATTGGCTACTCCAGTGTGTTCATGGATAGTGAGCTCAAACAACAAGAGTCACCTGTACTTGGTTAGAAAGATACTCAAACCCAAGTGGGTTTGAGGACACAGTGTAACGACAGTCACCAAGAGTTTTGTCAATGGAGGCATTTAAGGCTGAAAATAAGAATCACAGAATGTTAAGTATCACTGAGAGCCGCTGATGTGGGTATTTGTCATTATTGGTAGTTAATTTCCTGAAGTAAAACTCCTTAAAGGACACCAGGGTTGGGAGAGAAGGGATTACAGAGGTAGAACTGCTATTAACAATATATTTCCACCTGCTTCAGCATACATGTCCTACGAGCTACATATGAAATCGGTTGCAGGCTAAGCATTACGTCATCAAGAACTAATTTGGAAAAGGGACTGTGACACAGCCACAGCAGGCCTCCACCTGTGGCCTCCACGTACAATAATGTTGCTCTATCCTGTAGCAGTTGTGGCCCAGCACTCCCATTGTAAGCTTTCATCAGTTTGAAAGAAATGTCCTGGATTTACACAGTCAGGACACGCTGTAGTTGGAAATGCTGGCACAGGACAGTTTATTTCTGTCTAGCAGTTGATGTTTCATAACCAAGTTGTAAAGCCATGTTTCCCTGTCAACTAGCAATCACAGCGCCTGTAGTTTAAATGCTCCCAAACAGATGTAATAGGATAGTTAGATACTTTGCCTCAAAATAAAGCAACAAGATTGCCTTCCTAGTTGTTTGTAATTATTGAATAATTAATACAGCTAAGTGTAATATCCAAATATCTCGTTTGTCTATGTAAAATGGAAAGACTACTATTGCCACATGACTGAGAAGGATAAAGGGGTCTGAGATTTCTAGGAAAAGAATGTTTGCATGTGTGAAGTCAAAGGACACCTGGGGACACCGTCACTAAGTTTAGGGAATGGGAAACCCCGCAGACACAAGACTTTTGTGTCCTTAGTTTCAATCTAAAAGATGAATTAGTTTATGCCAAGAACTTAATAAACACAAAATATTTGTCAAATACTACTATATTCACTTGTTTTGAGTCATGAGGAAGTATTTCAAGAATTGTCATTCCATCCTGAATTATAGAAGGATCTTGATTAACTAGAGGGGAGGGACAAGGTTACTGTAATCTCATTATCTGAACTTTTCAGTTAGTTGGAACTTATACAGAAATGTTTTATCCTGAAACTTTATAAATGGATCATACAACCACTTGGCCAGTGTTCAGGAGAACATTACTACTACTGATATATTTAACATCTATTGGACAGTCATGGTATAAATAGTGCCACTGAATAGTTTATTATTATTCTAAATCGCCATGGTGCTATAATTCTCTGAGGATAGTGAAGGTGCAGATTCTGGGTCCAGAATTTTGAATAAAATTTTGGGTACTGGAAATGCTCTATTGTCATTTACCTCTAAGTCTTAGAGAAGAAGGGAAAGTGATTAACCACAAAACCCAGGTCTATTTTAATACTTTAATATACAGTAAGTGCCCATATTGCTGTACTTTGATGAAAATCAGAGTTTGGCAAAGTAATGAAGACCTTCTGGTCATGTGCGATTACTTAGCAACACTGAAAATTCTCTGCCTTGTAGAAGCAGTAATATCATTGTTGGAGCTGAGAGTCACAAGACATTCCAGGCTGTACAACGGCTCTTTAACTGACTACTCCTAACTCATACAAAAACATATCCTTTAAGGGCAAAAATGATCTCCAACTCAAGATAATTCCTTTAAATTATTGATTGTGAGAGTCAAAGGGTTTGGCTTCTAATTAATTTTTCTTAAGACAGGCCATGCTTGGGCTGGAGATTTAGCTCAGTGGCATCAGCGCGTACCTTGCAAGCAGGCAGTTGTGAGTTCGATCCCCGGTACCGATAAAAAGAAATAGACAGGCCATGCTTGATCAGACCCAGCCCCTTTGCTGTCACTGGTGTTCAGCAATATTTTTACACTGCAGTTGACCATCAATCTTTAGAAACATCTCATAGTTTCTGGGATACAGTCATGCAGCCAGTTCTTTAAGCTATTATTTAGACTCTACCAATAAAATGGAAATTTAAAGAAACATCGAGGACAGAAAAGCTTCAGATTTACATTTCATTTTCATGGATGAAAACTAAAATGAAAAAAGTAAATCACTAGGAAAGTGCATAAATATTGGAAATTTCAATAATAAAACATTTATATTAGTAAATGGATTTATTGACATAACTGAAACGTAGCAATGTATGACATTTATTCATTTCTCACTGAAATACTTTTTAGTGAAACTATTTTAAATAGAACACAGATCCAGGAATTAGGCATTTTCAGTGATACTCTGCAGGTAAAAGAATGGGTAGGAGACAAAATTAGAGGTCTTTTCCAGATTTTCAATGGGACTCAATATTCCACTGCTGTGAAAAAAAAAATAGCTAAGAAAGGGAATCTCACTATGCATGAAAAAAAGCCAAGAATATGAAAGCGGCCAGAGAGCCTGTGGATAGAAAATAAGAGATCAACCCTACCTCTTCCGTGCACCCATATGCTCTGAATCTAAAACAAGGCCTGGCAGCAAACAAAGAATGACAGCCTATTTCCTGTGGTTTATTAAGTTTGGGCCCCACAGATAAGACTGCCAGAAAAGCCACTGTAGTTTAAGTGATCTGGACATTTACTCATCTGAACATAAACAAAGACCAGCTAATTTAGATCCCTGGCACCTGTTCACTGGTTGGGATGAGGGCAGTGCTGGCCAAACATAATGGAGTGAACTGGGTTGAAGGACCCCCAGACTGTGATGGATTCCCTGAGACACCAGGATGCTCAGGGCTGTTGGCCCTAAACAGAAGACTGTTAAGTCTTAGCACCATTGTAGTGGCCTCCACCCACAGTGCTCTGCTGCCGATAAATCCACAGCCAAGGTCAATATAACCACAGTGCATTCCCTCTTAGTGACTGCTTGATCAGACCACACACACCATTAGTAACATAAACCCAACCACTACATTTAGTGATAAACATGTACTTCATAAATATCAGGGAACAAATCTATCCTAGATAGTTGAAAACACTGAACAAGCAAAAGAGCCTAATCCTAAATTTAGAATAAAAAACACTGAAAAGAAATACTGCAACTATTTACTAAAAGATTTAATAACACAATAAAACACTGGGTAGTGGAAGGATTAATTTGAAAAACATATAATTATTTCACAGTGAGGTTTAAGTACTCATAACAATTTTCTGGTTTTAGTAGAAAGAGACACCCACTAATGTATTTCTTTTCACATTTGTCTTTCATAATTTTTTCCTGTCTGCTATTTCATACAAAGAAAGGGATTAATGTGGCCAAAGACTGCACTATCAACTGACAATTACCTTTTCTTTTGTTTTCGATTTGCTGGGTATCAAACCCAGGGCCTCACACACACAAACACGCTAAGCAAGGGCTCTACCTCTGAGCTACCCCCAGCCAGGACAGTTATCTCCTGCTTCCCCATTAGGAAATTACCTTTATCACTTAACTGTAACTCAGGAGAAGCAGGCACAGTATTGTCAGTGATAAAAATGCACTGAGCACCTCGAATTTAGTCCCATCTGGACACACTGTCTGAAATGTGGTAAGTGAGCTATGCCAGGTTTCCCAGGGGGTCATCAGTTACATACATAGTACATTCTTCTATCAAATCTGGCATTGAAATTTCCTTTTGCATACTTAGGTTAAAAAAATAAAATTAAAACCACAGGAGCAACCCTGACAGAGAGGTCTTGCATGCAGTCTTCTCCTGAGAACGTATGTAAGTTTTACTGTCAAAGTCACCCAACGTGCTTATCCTGTTCACCTTAAAAGGAAAATAGTTGAATGGCCCAGTCCAACTAAAACAGTCTTTCAGTTTATTGGTCAGTTTGTTAAATGTCAGCTCTTCACATTGTTGAAGAAAAAAAATAGTGTTTGTTATTATCTAACCTTACGGTTTCCTGAATGCTCTATTAGTCAACATAAATGACTAGGTGAGAGTGTTCTCACCTGTTTAAAACAACCTTCTTGGCAGAGACCACCAAACCAGTGGGGACAGTTGCCAAGCCTCCTTTGCAAAGGAGCTGAGTTCCTTTTGCCTTAAATATAAACAAAACTCCCTTGTTTTAACACTGGGCAAACAAAGTATGCACCAAAATGCTTCTCACCATGCTGGAGGCACAAGCACTCTGGTCTACCCCAGAGGCCGCCAGATTACTGCATTGCATCCAATATGTAAGCCATCCCCTACCTGTTCCACAACCTCTTATCTCTGCCCCCACACCCACTACTCCCCTACTATTGCCTTAAGCACCAAGTACTACCCATGTGCTTCACAAGTACTGGTGAGTGGCTCTCTGTCCTCTTCACCTCTCTGGCAAATGCCAAAAGAACAGGAGATCTGATAAAATAAGGCTTTCCCCTGAGGTGGGTTGAGGGGTGGCAGAGAGGCTAAGGCAAATGAGAAGGTCTCCTGTAGGTCCTGCATCTAGTCTGCAAATCTTTGAAGGAGGTGGTCCTCCCGCCTCAAGCTGCCACCAGCGCCCCCGCCAGCGCTGTCCATGAAGCGGTCGCAGGGGAACTCAATGAGGTCAGCCTCGCTGAGCGCGCACACTGTGGTGCGCGGCCGATGCGACTGAAATCCAGAGAAGTCGGCAGAGACACCGGTGCCCATGGAGCGCAGGGGCCGTCGGGTGGAGTACATATGCCGAACGTGGACAGGGGCCCCGCCCTTCCGCCTGGCCCGCAGCTTCCTCCGCAGCCATCGCGACCCCCAGGCCGCCAAAGCTAGGAACACCAGCAGCGCGTTCACTGCCAGCAGGGCCAAGATCAGCAGCTGATAGTCGACGCCGCTCTGGCTATTAGGTTCCGGCAGGGTGACCAGCCCTGCGCAGTGGTCTCTGGGGGCCACGGGACAGACCCGGCCTCCGAGCACACCTTCGACACACACTAGGTAGGGGGTGTCTCCGCGCAGCTCGCGCAGCGTGGCCGAGTCGCTGCGCTCCGGCAGGTAGACGAAGCGGTGGAACTTGGGCTGCTGGCCAAAGCGGTCGAAGAGCAGGCGGAAGCGCGCGCCGCCCAGGGGCCGGGGGCTGCGGTGCGCTCGAACCTCCCAGCGCACCGAGGCGCTGTTGGCGCCCACCGCCTCTACCGTCAGGTTGCATAGAATGAATTTATTGAAGTCACACGGATCGGACACCAGCGGCGGCAAGCCAACCCCGCCGTCGGACTGGGCACCACGCTCCGGCTGCTCGGCGGCCGCTAGACGCTGCTTCGCTGCGCGCTGCCAGGGGTCGCGGGGCGGCAGTGACGGGAGGGCGGACTCGACCGTCGGGGTGGGCTCCGCCCGAGCCGGGCTGGCGCGGGTCTGACGTCCCGCTTCGGGCTTCCCGTGCAGGTCCAGGGGCTGTGGAGCTGGGCCCTCAGCAGGAGCTGTGGAGGGGCCCACGTGCTGCAGGAGGCCTGGGCCCCGCCGGCTCAGCCTTAGAACACTGCGGTTGCTCACGATCTCCCTGGCAGCAGCGTCCCAGCCCACCCCAGCTATAAATCGCCCCCGTTGTTGGGGCAGCTGCTGTGGCTGTGGCTGCAACTCCTTTGTAAAACCTCCTGCAGGGGGCGTCGTCTCCTCCTCCCCCGCAAGGAGCCGCTGCCTGCTGTCTGCAGTTGGGGATGCAGAGGGCGGGGGATCCACGCAGGACCCGTTCTGCAGCTGCTGGTCATCCAGGTAATCCAAGTACTTGCCTCGAAGGGACGGGGGATGGCGACACTGTACAAAGACTGTAAGGAGCCGGCCCTGCGAGTGCCAGTCGCCCATCCAGCGCTTCAGGCCCCGCAGCCGGCAGTCGCAGGTCCAGCCGTTCCCGTCTAGATCCAGCCGGTAGAGGGCCGGGCTGGCAGCGAAGATGTCCCCTGAGAGGGCACTGAGCTCGTTGTCGCGTAGGCTGAGTTCACGCAGTCGGCCCAGGTGGCCGAAGATGGCTGGGTGTAGGGCAGACAGCTCATTGTCACTTAGGTCCAGCGCTTCCAGACTGTGCAGAGGTTCCAGCAGCGCCAGTGGAAGTTGGCTCAGTCGATTGCCCTCGAGGCGCAGCTCGCGCAGAGCCTCCAATCCCCAAAAGGCCTCAGGAGCCAGGTGCATGAGCTGGTTGCCCCTAAGGGAGAGCAGGCCAAGGCGGGGCAGGTGCTGGAAGACACGCGGGCCGAGGTGCTGCAGGCTGTTGGCCGAGAGGATGAGAGTGGAGAGGGAGCGCAGCGGTGCGAAGGTGGCCGCGTGGCGCAGGGAAGGCTGCAGCTCGTTGGCAGACAGGTTGAGGAAGCGCAGTTTGCCCAGTTGGGCAAAGGCATTCTTGCCCAGGAAGCGGATCCGGTTAGACTCTAGGTGTAGGTATAGCAGGTTGCCCAGCGGGGCAAAGACCGCGTCTGGCAGCGCCTCCAGAGCATTCCCATCCAGCCGCAGCTTGACCAGACTCTCCAAACCCTCGAAGGAGCCGCGGTTTAGGCGGCTGATCTCATTGCCGTTGGCATAGAGGATGCGTAGCTTGCGCAGCGGGCCCAGAGTGCCAGGGGCGAGCGCCTGCAAGAGATTGTTTCCCAGGTAGAGCTCCTCCAGCCGGGAGAGCTTCTCAAAGGTCTTGGGATGCAGAGAGCGGATCTGGTTGTACTGCAAGTCCAGCCGTCTGAGCTGCCCCAGTCGGTGGAAATCAAAGGCGGTGATGTTAGTTATGAAGTTGCCTGCGAGGCTGTAGGTGAGCACGTCCTGGGAGCTAGGCAGCGAGCTGATTTTGGGCACTGCGCGGAGCCCCCTGTTGGTGCACAGGAGGTGCTGGGGGTGCTGGCAGTCACAGCGCTCGGGGCACACCGGCTCGGCCCCCGGCGGGAGCACGAGACAACCGCACACCACGAGCAGGAAGCGCACGGCACGGACAGCCTCCATCGCCGTCCGCCCTGCGTGCTGCGGCCGGATAGTCCTCTTAGCCTGCCGGCTCCGTGTCTTCTCCGCATTCCCCTTGGCCTGGCTAGAGTCGCTAAATGGCCTCTTTCGGATTTCACTGCGCAGTCCAGCCCCTCCTCTGCTCTTTGTCCGGTGGCTGGCCCCTGTCTCTGCAGGCGGGCTTCTCCAGGCCAAGTTAGGCAGCGCAGAGCGCTCGGCGAGCTCCGGGTGCTACTTGTTGCATTTCTGTAGAAAAGTATTTCTCCTGGTGTGCGTCGGGGGACGGGGGAGGGAGCAAGCCCTGGTGCTTTTTGTTTGCAGCAGAGTCCGGAGAGCTGGATTCCCTGGCGCGGATTCTCCCCGCCCAGCGGATTCCCCAGCTGCAGGAGGGAGCCGTTCCAAGAGCTCCCCGGGGGCGCGGCTTGGCTGTGCAGCCCCGGAGGCTCGGCCTCCGCAGCCGGCGCCTCTTCGGTCTCGGTTCGGGACCAGGAGTGCGGCGCGGGTGGAACCGCCGGGCGAGCGCGGGCTGAGTCCGGAAAGGACCCAACTCGGCGAGTAGCGAGCAAACCGGGCGGAAATTCGTTCTTCCCACACGCTGCCCCCCGGGGACGCGGGCGGAGAAAAAGGAGACGGCGGAGGGAGGACAGACCCCGGCAGGGGGAGGAGGAAACACTAACTGGCTCCGCGTCTAGTCAGCTCGAGCCCGGGACGCCAAGTGAGAAAAGTAGGGATTAAAAACAGCTGTACGGGTCGCACTCGCAGGCTGGGGGCGGGGGTGGATTACCGGGCGAGCAAACGGGATTTGCAGACAGAGACCTTTTTATTTTAAGCCAGTACACCAGCCGCTGCGGCGCTGTGGCAGCGCGCTTCGCCTTACCATTTTAACTCGCTGGCTCTTCCAGGTGCCGGCCCGCAGCAAGTTTGGGCAGCGCTGAGTTCTCCAGCATTCCCCGAGCAGCTTGCAGGAAGACACAAGGTTGACCGCAGAAGGCTGCCGGTGGGCCACTGCAGAGACTGGTTGAGCCCAGTTGTGTGATGTGGTCTTTGACATCAGTGATCCCTGGTGGAGGAGAGGCGCCGCCCTTTTAGGCATTTGAGCTATTTGCTGGATCCCGTGGTGGGCAAGAGGAGGAAGAAAGCTCAGAACAGGTTCTGCCACCATGAAAGTATGTTCGTCAGATTTTGGTGATTCAGCTTCATTAATTCTTAAGTCTCAAAGCCCTTGGAGAAGGCTGTGGACACGTTCATATATATGTATAGGAACCTGCCCGGCCCTATGAAACTACAGTCTGGGGCTGCCCACCTCCCTCCACCCCCACCTTCACACCCCCACCCCCGCCCCGCGCTTTCTGCCAGGGTTTGCAGTGCTCTTCAAAGTCTTTAGGTTTAGAAGTGCTCTGGTCTGGCTTATTTGGAAGAGACACAATTTGTTATGAACTGGGTATGACGCATTTTACCAGTGGCTCCTTGAGGGCAGCCCTTACTAAGAATGAGAATGGGTAAGAGACAGCTCTTAATGCTGTGATCCTAGCACACTGGAAGGCTGAGGCAGGAGGATAGCCTTTTGCAGCCCAGCTTATTTAATTCACCACCTAAAAAACTTGGTATGACCTTGTCTCAACAAAACAAACTTTTGTGTATGCAGGTCGTCTAAAGTAATTCCAGTGTTTCATTGGCCCAGTGAGCAGTTAATACAGGGAAGTGATAGAAGCTGGCTTTAAATTTAGAGAAAGATGAGATATCTGGCAGAGTGGAGGCAAAGACTTCATGGGTAACCAGGGAATTTAACTTTGCAGGAAGATGGGTAAAGAGAGAAAAAGAACAGTCCTGTAAGGGGAGCAGTGTATCAGCCAGGTTTGCTTGTGATTTGCTTTGAGTTGTGAATCAAAGGTGAACTTGGGAAACTGGGTGTCTCTTTTACCAAGATGAAATATGATCCTCAGATAGTTTGATTTTTAGTTCTCTTTGTGAGAACATCCTGACATCCCTTTAGTTCTTGACTTCTTTGGAAGGAGTGGACCCGTGCTTGTGCTATGTAGCATTAAGTTCACAGCTTTCCTGATCTAGGCCAAAAAGTTGCCAGAAGTACCTTCATCAGCAACAAAATGATCAAAGATTTCAGAGGAAAGACTACTCAAAGAATGCTGACTTCCTAGCTGAACCCAGGTATATCCGGAATAGAGTTAAATCCACCCACAGCCTCCTGGATGGGAAACAGATTGGAAGCTGAGAGAGGCCTGGTATGGAAGGGGAATAGCAATGAACAAGATCTCACACTTTCATAAGTCTTTTCTCTTCCCGTGCTTTGCAGAAACTCAAGAGCTGCTTGAGTTTGATTAATCCTTTATCCCTTACAGATACCTCTGATTTACACAAAAAGTAGCAGAACCCTGAAAGTATTCAGTATTTTTTGCCATTTGTATTTTGGTAATACCACCTAGTGTTTAGTATTTCCACCAGTAAGTAATCCTGGATTGCTGCTGGTGAAATAACACTGTGCATCATTTCATGTCAAAAGTTAATTGCTCTTCCAACACGTCCCGATTTCTTAAAGCACCTTATCTGCTGCATGTAGTTGACACTTTACAATGAATATAGCATTCCATACTTCAAGTAAGTGTGCCATTTGCTAGGTGTTGCTCACAGCCTCCATCCCCTCTCAGGGAGAGTGTGATTTTGAAATCTACAGATAAAGTAACAACACACTTGTGCATACAAGTTTTTTTTTTTTTTCAAAAAATGTAACTACTCTCTTTTAAATAAATGTTCATTGTTAAGGGCCTGTGGCTTAGGGCTGATTTTACAAATGAATGATATTTAAATATTTCAGAGTAAATTGATGCCCCTGTGACTTCATTTCTTTAGTGCTACAGGCTCAGGTGCTTGAGTTATGTTCAGACCATTTTCTCTTTTAGGCATTACAGTGATATTTTATTTGAATCCAGTAGTACTTAATGCCCCTGGTAGTGAAGGATTATAGCAGCAGCTCCCAAATTACATGTGCTTAGAATCCTTACTGCTGCTGATGAACAGAAGAGAAGTGATTAGTGAGAATTTGCCTTGTGCCAAATCTTAGAATAGGATGGGCATGAGTGGTTGATGAGCCAGAGAGCTAGAACTCAGGGCAGCTTAGTGAAGCAGCTGCTGATTGGGGAGCGGTGACAGCAGCAGGTGATAGGAGCTGAGAATTGGAGCCTGGTCAAAGAGCACCTGACCTGGCCCAAGAAGGCTTCCCAAGTAGGAAAAGTGTGTGCTGAGCTTGATGTGAATGGTATTACCTAGCCAGAGCTGAGCCAGCACTCAGGAAATGAAAGACTAAAAACACACAAGAGAGATTTGAGGACTTCCACATCTTTCATCTTCATTGGGGTGACATTTGTTAACATTTACATTCTTTAACAGCATCAGACGAACCTAGTTTGAACAATGGCCTGAAATAAATGTTCTTTGATTGAACATTTGAACATGGAAATGATTCCATGTGGGGATTTCCCCAGACAGCTGAATGCATCAAATTTGCACTGTCGCATCCAGAAGTATCACTGCCTAAGTAAATAAAATGGATGTTGTACAAGGACAATGTCTTCCCAGCTCTTGCCTTTTAGGTTTTTAAAATCTGTGACAGTAATATCACAGGGTTGCACAAGTGTGAACAGTACATTCAGACCGTAGTATTTACCTATGAGCATATACATAGGCATCTTATAGGTATAAATACAGTGCCTTGCTTGATCAGGGCAATTTGGAGTCCTGCTCTGTACTCTGTGCTTTCAAAGGCCATATTCCAGGCTTTTAGCAGTGTTGTTCCTCCTAAGAGCCTTTTAGAGGATGTCTTGCCACAGCTCAAAGCCCTAACTCAGTTCTAAGTATTCTGGGCCCCTAGAATTCTCAGTGCAGTTCCCTAAATCTGCCTGGGCTTGGTCCCATCATTTTCCTGGGAGCTGTGGCCGCAGAAGCCCTGGAGACAGCTAAGAAACTGTAAGAGAAAGCTGGAGCTGTATCCTGGATTTCCCTGTGGGTAAGAGCTGGAAAGAGGGGTTCAGGCCTCTTTTCAACTCATATTGTGCTTTGGGAGTAGAAAGAAAGCAAGAAGAAAAATTATAGGAGTTTGAAAGGAAGCATGTTTGGGGAAATGTAAACTCTCCTTTATTATAACATAGGTTAAACCTAATTTTCTATGAAAAATAATGCTCTTTAGTAAAAGTAAAGGCATAGCCATCTGCATCAAAATAATTATCTCTTAACAAAGAGTGTCTTTGTTAGTGGTTCGATCCAGGCTTGATTAGGTTCCAGGACTTTCAAGTATTGATTACATTTAAATGTATCATTAACATAATCACAACTGGAAACCCAGGAAGGAACATTATTCATAAGTAAAACTTCTGTTCATTTCATTTTTGGAAGCTGGCACTTTAAATTTCAAATGCACTGGGAGTAGTTTCAGAGGTCAGATGCACAGACAGACGAGTTCGGGCTGGTTCTATGACATGTAAGTGTGGTGTAAGAACTCTCAGTGCTCTTGCCCAGGCCTGGCATCTTCTCCATCTTGCCAGGGATACACACCTATGTTTTCCCCAGGAACTTGTCATTTCCTTTGACTTCACCTATAGTAGCATGAAGGATTCCAGGCCACATCTTAGGTAGTCTCGAGCTGTTATGAGTTGGCTAAAGCACAGCCTTGGTGCAAGATGGGTTAGGGGAGGAGAACTGTGGCCAAGCTCCCCCTGCAGGGGGGTCAGGAGGCAGAGCTGGCCAAGCCTGCTGGAGCAGCATCCTGGAGCTTACCCAGGGCAGGCTGTAGGGATGGCAGCTGTTTCCTCACCCTTGTGAGCCAACTCCAGGCAGGCAGCATGGCCCCTGACAACATGAAGTAGGAAACTGGAGAGTCCCCAGGGGTCTCTCTGCATGTCGGTAAGTTATTCCCAGGGTTATCTTTCTCTGTGTAAATAAACTCGTCTTAATCCCTGCCTGTGGAACATGTTTCTTTTCCTTGGAGAACTGGATTGTGAAAGAGACAACTGCTGGTTTACAGAATATCTGCCAGTGCTCCTTTTGAGAAATACAGACATGCAGGTCTCCGGCTAGGTATCAGCCTTATTAAATCAGAATCTCTGGGCAATAAAGCCATAGCGTCTACATTTGTAAATTCACTGTATGATTTTTGTGTCATTCAGGTTTGAAAAAACTAATAGACAGTTCTTCAGAACATCTAATTATAATCAGCTGATCATACAGGTGGGAAATTCCTAATCTGAAAGCTTGGAACTAGGTGCATGTCAGATTTTGGAGTTTTCATATTTTGAAATATTTCCATACATGTTGTTATTGGTTGAGCATCTCTAATCCAAAAATCCAAAATTTTAACTGCTTTAAAATCTGAAATTTTTCAACAAAAATTCAGATTTTAGTGTTTCAGGTTTTGTATTTGTGCACTAGGGATGATCAGTCTCTAATAGCAATCATAATAATTGATATTTCTGTGATACAGAACTGAACACCAGGTAGTGATCTAAGGAGTTAACATAAAAGGATCATTTGTTTTGGTAGCTACACTATAAGGTAGAAACTTCGACATATTAGTTAGATTTTCTGTTACTGGGACACAATGCTCAACACCAATAAGTTGAAGGAGACTAGTAGTGGTTTCAGTCCATGATCAGCTGAGTTAAAGCAGGAACATCACAGCAGAAGGTCATGATAAGAAAAGTTGCTTGGTTCGTGTCAACTAGGAAGCAAAGTGTGGGAGCGGCACCTTAGAGAAAAAAGGTGGGACCAGGTATGGACCCCAAGATCAACCCTCCATGTCTCACCCACACACACTCGAAGAGTATTCTCCTAGTTCTCCAGGAGGGTGCCAAAGCCAATCAAACTGACTGCCTAACCACCCACATATGACTAGCCCTATTTTACTATGGCAGTCTTGAAAGAAACAAGGCTTACAGACTTGATTTAGCACATCTCAGGCATCGTCTGGGATAGCTTAGGAAGCATTGACCCTTTTAAGAACTTGTTGAGACATTTTAGTATTTTCTTTGCTAAGGAGCAAAGAGAAGTGAGATAAGACCCACATCTTCAGAGAGCTCAGCATGACTGAGCAGATAAATATAGATACACCAGTGGTCCAAGAAGTGCCATCATAGGTAAAGATGATGTGATAGCACAGTTTTCGGAAAAGAAAATAAAAAAGAGCTAAAACCTTTATAGAAAGCAAAGACTACTGTGTATTTCAGGCCCTTTCCAACACTTTAGATTTTTACATCTGAGGCAAATTTATCAGTCCAAAGAAGGTTGATTATCTGAAACCAAAATGTATGAACAGTGTATCTACAAGAATTACAGTGACCTAGAGACTGTGTGGAGATCCAAGAAAAGGCAGATGTTGACTGAACATAATGACTTTAGGAAATAAGGCAAATCAACTGGCTGTTGATGGTTACAGTGTAGAGTTTGTTTATATGTAACTGAAATTTTATAACAGCAATATAATGTTGTATTCCCTACAATGAAATGGAGTCGGTAGCCTAAGGAAATGCTCCAGGCATAAAAGTCATAAAAGTATCTTTACTTTTAAGTCCTAAAATACTTGTCATCTCTAAGAACCAGACCTGCAATTATACATTATGGTCGTACTTTCTACTATTCTCTTACTTGGATTTCTACACGCTCCACTAATGGTATTTATTTATTTACCCTGCAAATCTGGAGGGGCAATAACCTTGCTTTATTTCATTTTAGGGCTATTCAGTAACAGATATTGTATTTTTAAAGCTTTCATAAAATAAAAATGAATTAATAGTTGTTGGCTTTAGATGATGAGAAAACAGTTTTAATTTCACTCTACTTTTTTGTTTTCTTAATATGCATAATTAATTTTTTAAAAATTATTATTATTATTATTGTTATTTTGGTGCAGAGGATCAAATTCATGACCTTGCTCAAGTAGGTGCTTTGCCACTGAGCTATATCTCCGGCCCCTTGAAAGTATTTTTAAAAATGAAAGTGTTTTTATCTCTGATATCTGATTGCATTCTAATATAAATATCAATTAGATGAGACCTATTTATATCCCCAATTTTTTATTTATTTTTTTTATTTTAAAGAGGATAAGATTAAACATAACAAAACAGAACCAAACATATCATAAGGAAAGAAATTTAAAGAAATACAGATTTCAAAGCAAGTCCACTGGAGATCTTCACTGTCTACCTTATTGTGTCGAGTTTTCTTCCAAATAATTGTCCCCATCTTCACACACAATGAATACATACTGAACATTATAGAACTAATCAAATCATTACAGGATGATGAAGGCTTTTTAGATTTTCAAGACCTGATATTGGGGAGATCAATAATGACTGCCATAATGTCTCTCATTCTCTTTGTAGTAGCTGTCCTTATCTTTACATATGCTGAAGCCATTTTTTTTAAAGAGAAATAAAACAAAAATCAAGAAGTAAGCAGTTAAAAAAAACAGATGCAAAATGATAACAACAACAACAAAACAATGGCAGTATAGGATTTGAAAACAATATAATAGGAATTTTAACAGTGGTTGTTATATTGCATGTTGATATCCTCAAAGTAATTGCTCAGGCTACCAGACACAGGCATGCAAGATTCATCAAACAATAAAATTACCCTTTGAGCAGGTTCTTTACCTTTTACTGTATCTATTGGAATTTTTGGATCTTACTTACCCTTTCAGTTTTTTTTACACTAGCGAGACTCTCCTATCCCCAATTTTGAGAACAGGATGCTGAGAACTAGAAAAGTTAGCTAACTTCTGGAACAATCTGCTGTCTTGCTGGCAGAGTGTAGAGCATCAGCTGAACTGTGGGGTTCTGACCCCAGAATTTTTGCACATGGCCCTTCATAGACTCATTATTAGCACTCACCTATTTGAACAACTAATGGGGCAGTTGGGGTGGAGGATATTCAAAGTATATGGACTGGCTGGTTCAGTAGGCCCTGGCTGTGCCGGAGGGACGGCAGCTGTAAATAACCTGCCCAGCTGGGCTGTGGCCACCTGCTGCACAGGGACCTCTGAACTCCATTAGCCAGCCTTGCTTTTTGCTTTCTCCTTCTATCTTGTTTATTCTTTCCTTCCCTTCCTTGGCTCTTTCTTCCTTTTCCCTCTCCCTCTGTTCTCCTTTCTTTTTCAGCTCTGGGGATTGTACCCAGAGCTTTTATATACTAAGCTACATCACCAGATAAGATCCCCTTCCCACTTAAAAAAAAAAATTTTTTTTTTTTGAGACAGAGTTTGCTGAGTTGCTATTTGCCCAGGCTGGGCTTGAACTTTTGATCCTCTTGCCTCAACTTCCAAGGCAGGTGCAGTGAGATCTGGAAAGGAAAGGGAAGAGGAGAGGAGGGAAGGGGACTGGCGGGGGTGGAAAAGGAAAGGAAAGAAAGAGAAGAAAAGACGGAAAAGAGGAAGTGGAGGGGTAGGAGGCAGGGTGGGGTGGGGAGGAGAGAGGAGGAGAGGAAAAGGGAGGGAAAAAGGAAATTAAAAAGATGGGGGAGGAGAGAGAGGAGCAGAGGAAGGGGAGGAGGGGGAGGGGAGAAGGATGCACCCCTGCACCTGGCTTCAATTAGACTCTGATTGGGAGTTTAGCTATATATTTTTCTGTAATAATGGCAGTGTATGTAAATTTTGGGCACACTAATAAGGAGCCGTGAGAAACAACATGCAAAGTCTTCTGAGTCGAGGTGCTTCCAAGTCGCAAACTTGCCTAGGTCCAGTTTCACGCAGTGACTGCAACTTCACAGCGAAATGTTGATCAAGAGGAAAACAAGATTCAGCCCCCAAAAACATGTGCTCCGTTTTCAATGTATGTACCAGAAATTGTCTCCTACTCTCTTAAGTGAACTCAAGGATATTTTGAAGGCAATTTAATTATTAAAAGATTAGCTAGGCATGGTGGTACATGCCTAGTAATCCTAGTATTCTGGGAAGTTGAGGCAGGGAGATCAAAATTTTGAGCTCAGGCTGGACAGTTTAATGAGACATTGTCTCAAAATAAGAAAGTTACAAAAAGGCTAGGGATGTAGGTCCGCACAAAAACTCAGGGTTCAGTCCCCCAGCACCTAAAAATAAAAGTTACTGTTTTTCTAAGAACATCATCTGAATCATTGTAATTAGTGGGTTAAAGATATTTGTAGTAAGCTGCCCTGAAGCCAGGTAGGACTTCTGATTTAATTGGTGAAAGAGGGATTAAATGTTAAGATCCCTTTGGGCTTGAAACATTAAGGAATCTATTACATTTTTTCAGTGGAATATCACTCAACGCATTGGAACTTGATAGTTTTTAAACGAATATTGGTTTAAAGGATTAGCAACTTATCCTGTAAGTTTTCAGTGATTTATAACCAAAACCTGGCTATACATGTGTCAAGCCCCCCCCCCTTGGTGGATCCCCCTTTTTGATGTCTCCGTGTTCTAATGTTACTCTAGAGCCAAAATGAGGGAGGCATTTCCTCCTCATCCACGCTGCTGCTGAGAACTCTGGCTCTGTGCTGCTAAGAGCATCCTGTCAATCTCAGTCATGGAAATGATCTTGGACAGTTAAGTAATTGGCTATATACATTGTAAATGCCCTAAAAGTGTTTGCAGATTTCATCAAAAGCCCAAATATTGTTTTACTTAAAACCAAGAACATGCAAGAAGGAAATTAGAGGAAGGAAGCATCCGTCCCCCTTCTCCAGAGTCTCTGTAATTTTCTATGAAGATTTGCACTTTGATTATGTTTAGTAACGCCATATGCTGGAACAGGATGCAAGATCAAAGACACCACTCGCAGCACTGAGGCCCTTGCTGCAGGCAGGACCAGATATTTCTGTTGGTACAATGCTAATAGGTCGGTAAATACGCTCCCCATGGCTCCATCACTCAGACTTCATTTTCAAAATATAATTGAGAAGCCTCAAACAGAATGTTCTTAGCATCTTTTTCATTGTCTGCTGTCATACTCTGCACATTGAAAAAAAAGTTGTTACCACTTAGCAATTTTGAACTAAAGAATATTCAGAAGCTCAATGTGCATTGTCAAATTTTATAGTGTGTATGGCCTTAGAAATTTGAGGAGTAACGGCTCCCTAACAGGGCTTTTTTTTGTTGTTGATGAGATTGCAGAGACCCCATTTTGTTTTTTTCCACAATCAAAAGTTTCTACAACGAACACTTGTTTTTTACGGTTGAAAATCTTTGGTAAAACTAAATATGATGTCATGTTCATTCTTGCTTTCCACGTGGCCCTGCCATGTCCTTCTTTCCTGTTACAAATGGTTTTTCTTATAAACCTTCTTTTAAAAAATCAGTTTTGGTAGTAGAAATAACATTGGATATTCAGTTTATTATGTATGGTGCACATATTCCTGAGCATTTGCAGATGCCATAAAAAGCCAAGGGTCTGTCATAAACTATGGTATCCATGAGGTAAACAGGGGTAGGAAGATGATGTCCACTTACTGCATCCCTGCTCTTGAGCCACCACAGTCTCTGATCTGTGGCTCAATTTTGATTCATAAAAGGGGATAAGTTATATTTGCCAAATGTAAGAGTTTTTAAGAAATTGAATATCTTCTCAGTGAGAAGCCCACAATCCTTAAGGGTCAGACCTACACTTCTGCATAGCCACTTGATGCCCTATGTAACGCCCAACAGAGTCTTTTCTTAAATTGTAGATCTTTAATAGATGTTAGGCTGAGCCACAAGTCTTAGTCTGTTTTGTGCTACTATAGTGAGATACCAGAGATTGGGTAATTTATGAAGAACAGAAACTTATTTCTCACTGTTCTAGAAGCTGGGAAGTCTACTATCAAAGGGCTGGTGGCTCATTTCCTGGTAAGGATCTGGTCTCTGCTCCCAAGAGGATGCTTTGAATGCTGTACGCTCACATTGTAGAAAGCATTGGGTAGCACGAAGCCCTTTGTCAGACCCTTTGTAGAGGCACTTGATCCCATCCTCAAGGCAGAACTTACATGACTATCTCCTTCCAAAGGCCAGGCTTCAAATCCTATTGCCCTAGTAATGCCTGCATTTTAGAGAGAACACATTCAAAGTAAGGCGGAAGTCACATTCTCGGGTTCTTCTAGCTTTCCTTGTAGGTTCCATTTCCATCTTTCTGTTGTTTTATTGTTCTTCTGCAGGTCACCTGAAACCAGAGAAGAATCTTCAGCAGCCAGTTTCTCATGCTGGTCATACAAATGTAGATGCTGTGGAGGCTCTGCAGTCACTTAATAATGTACAGTCAAATCACCTGACCTCCGGACATCAGTTTCCAGCCCCCTGAAGTGATGTGATTGTAATCTGTCAGTGTTTGCTCAGAGAGTTCTTGTCATCTATCATGGCTCTTGTGGTGCAAAAAGATTATGCAAGGGAAAAGGGGAGTCTGGCTGTCCATGCCATAACCAGGTCTCGGACTCTCCCACTGATCTGGTTTAAAGGACACTGGGCTAAAGTTCTCTATGATCCTTTCCAGCTTTAAACATTAAAAGAAATTATTGTGTTTCTTCAATAGAGCATTATTCAATTCATTGGAATTTGTCAATGATTTAGTACTTTAAGTTGTTTTATTAAATCTGCATATTTTGTAGCAGATAGTGCTTTTCAAGGTTATGGTTGACTGATCTCAACAACCCATGGAATACAGCTGGTTTAATATTACCACAATGAGCAGGGAAATATACCACAAAGTTAACACCAGTGTTTAACAGACCTGGACAGCTTCTTTGTTTTACCCCGCAGCTGTCAAACTAACAAATCATTGGATCATTCTTTCTACCAGGATATAGGTGTTAAATAGAGCCTCAAGGTGAAAGCACCATTTGGCAAGTTATCAAGTCTGGGCTAAATAACTGTTGATGCTTTGAAAGTATGATTTAACCACCTGCTAGTGATGGGATGTGTCCTGGGAACTTAGCCACTGGGGAAAGTTCAGCAGTGATCCCTAATTACTCCAGTATGCTCTGATGTGAAAACCCCACTGATAATCAGTATGAGTCCCATTATTCCTTGAGGTGGTGGCATGCAAGTACTATCATTTTACACCTAGGACAGGTGGCTACAAACACCTGCCAGCTGAACAATCATTAATAACTGGCAATTATGGAGAGTTGGTCATGAACCAGGCACACTGCTAAGTCATCTACAAGTACTAAGTCATTTAATCTCTAAGGACTTATGAGGAAAGTACAGTTATTAATCTCATCATATATATATATGTATATACATATATATATATATATATATATATATATATATATATATAATATGATTGAAGTGAAGAGAGGTTAAATAACTGCCCCCAAATCACACAGCTGGAAAGCGACAGAGTGGGACTTGCACTCACATTTTAAGAAAATTTGTATGCATGCTTTTTATATGAATCTTTTGACCAGAGTGTCCTTGTCATTGCTGGAGTCACTGTTGATGAATAACCTTTTTTTTTAAAAAAGAAATCACAATTCTGGACAGTAAAAAGTCAGGGGACATCACAATCCATGACCTGAAATTATACTACAAAGCTACTGTGATAAAATCAGCATGGTATTATTTAAAAAAAAAAAAAAAAAAAACAAACAGACCTGAGGATAGTTGAACAGAAGATACAGATGGAACTCCAAACACACTCAGCCACTTTAGTTTTGACAAAGAAGCCTGTTCACTGGAAGAAGGATAGTCTCGTAAAGAAATAATGCTGGGAAAACCGGCTTTCCACATGTTGAGGAATAAAATTAGACCTATGTCTATCACCAGGTACTAAACTAAAGTCAAAATGGCTTAAAGATCCAAACATTATAGCAGAAACACTAAATTAATTGGAAGAAAATATAGGCAGAAATCTTGAAGATATAGGGGTAGGCAGAGGCGTCATAAATAAAACCCAGACTGTTCAGGAAATGCTATGAAGAATCAACAAATGGGATCTCATTAAAAAGCTTTTGCACAACAATATAAATTACCAACAGTGAAAAGACAGCCCAAAGAGTGGGAAAATATTGTAGCCAGTTGTCTTCAAGACAAAGAACTTACATCTAGAACATATAAAGAAATGAAAAAAACTAGGCCTCTAAAATTCAAAGATCCGATCTAAAAATGGGTATCTGAGATGAATACACATTTCTCTAATGAGTAAATACAAATGGCAAATAGATACATGAAAAGAATGTTCACCATCATTGGTGATTCAAGAAATGTAAATTAAAGCAACACTGAGATTCCATCTCACCATGGAAAGAATGGCTACCACCAAGAAATAAATCAATAACAAATCCTGTAGGGGCTGTGGGGAAAAAGAAACCCTTTTCCACTGTTGGTAGGAGTGTGGACTGGTGCAACCACTGTGAAAATCCATGTGGAGATACTTAAAAAAAAAAAAAAGGAATAGAGTTTCCATTTGACCCAGATATTCCTCTGCTGGATATCTTCCCAGAAGAATTAGAAACATCATACCACAGTGATATATGTACAACCATGTTTATAGCAGCACAATTTGTAATAGCTAGATTTTTGCAAACAATCCAAATACCTGTCAACTAAGGAATTAAAAAGATGCAGTCTTTTTATACAGTAGAATTCTACTCAGCCATAAAAGATAAACTGGACCTTTAAAAGTAAATGGATGCAACTGGAGACCATACTCATAAGTGAAATAAACCAGAGTCACACGTATAAACATCGTATTGTCTCCCTAGTGAGGGAAGCTGAAAAAGTAAATAACATCCAAACATACTGTAGATATTGTGAAATGGGAAGAAACTGTTCAAAATGAAAGAGAAACTGAGCTGGGGATAGGAGAGAAGAAGGAAGGGAGAGAAGCAACAAATATATATGATAGTTATGCTAATTTCTCTGCTGCGAAACGTTTGTGCTAATATTGTCTGAACAATTAAATATCTATATCTTGTACTCTGAGTAACTGATTTAAAGAACAATATCCACTGTATTGATCATTGTTATTCTCCTACAGTTTTGAAATATTTTTTCTTTAAAATAAACAAACTTGAATCTATGGCAACAGTGTTTTGAAAACAAAAGTTAGGAAATGTTTTCATCTTAACTGTAGCACATTACAAAAACTTCTCTGAAATTCAAGAAAATATCAACAAAAATCTTTACATAAAAGCTAGATTAAATTGAGAATAGATATTGTGAATTTGGAAGAAACTTTTCAAAAGAAAGGAGAAACTGGGATGAGGAAAGAAAGGAAAGAAAAAAGTATGTAAATATATCTGCACAAGGTAATTGAAATAGTTATATAGGCAGTTTCTTTTAGTTCATTGAAAAAGAAAGATTTGAGCTAATACTGTTTGGGCAATATTTCTTGCCTATATCTTATAATCTAAATAACTATTATGAAGATAACAACATGCAATGTAATAATTATTACTGTCCTACTACCCTTTTTGAAACTATTTTATGGGTATTTTTTCATTCCTCTCTTTAAAATCAAAACAGAAATCATCTGCCCTTTCACATGTATTGTTTGAATTGTATAGCATTTTAAAATATGATTCTTTCAGTGGAAACTTTCCAGGTACCTATGCTCACGGGTAATTCAGTCAGTGTCTTCTGCATCCCTATAAGTGTGTACCCCTCTCTACAGGTTTACCACTTGATCCTTCATTGTTTTGCTGATTGTTAAATGAACAGTAGCCTTTTGTTGGTTCAGAAACAACTTATATAGATTATAGAAGCAGCTTATATAGATTCTAGAAGGCCAGAAAATACACATTAACAATAAAGCACTATATTCCCACCACTGAAGTCTGGATAATGTCCACTCAAAAATATCTACATCCTAAACCCCAGAACCTGTAAATATGGTAGGCCTCATGGCAAATGGGAAGTAAGATCACACATTGAATCAAGGTTGTCTCAATTACTTAAAAAAATTATCCTAGGGTATCCAGAGGGGCCTACTGTAATCACGAGAGTCTTTAAAAATGGAAGAAGGAGGCAGAAACGCCCAGAGTGCTATACAGAAAGAAGGAGCAAACATTGCTGACTTTAAAGATGGAAGACAGTGCTATGAGCCAGGGAGTGCAGGAGGGATCTGGAGGCTGGGAAAGGTAAGGAAATGGTTCAACCCTTGAGCCACTAGAAAGGAGATTATCCCTGTCTAAACCTTGATTTTAGTTTAGTGAGATCCATGCTGAAATTCTGATCCATAGAACTGTAAAATAATAAACATGTATTTTGTAAGCCACTAAGTTCTTGATGTTTTTATGTCAGCAATATAATATGAATATACCCCCAAATTGCAGTTACAACTGTTGGCTTTTTATATAAATTATATATATGTATTATATATATATATATATATATATATATATATATTTGTATAACTATTTAGCTTAAATGGGATCATGCCCATCTATATGCTTCTGTTACTATTACATAATGATGGAGGCTAGGCAATTTGTAAAGGCTAGAGTTTATTTTAATTCACACTTCTGGTGGGCCAGCTGCATGGTGCCAACATCTCCTTGACTTCTGATGAGGAGCACGTGCTGCTTCATGTAGAGTGAAAAAGCAGGAAAGTGGGCATGTGTGAAAGAGATCGCATTGTGAGAAAAGAAATAGGAAAAAGCCAAACTCGCTTTTCTAACAACCCACTCTCATGATAACTAACGCATGTTCACGAGAACACATTGATCCCTTGAGTAGATGGAGCTCTCACAACCTAATTGCCTCTTAACGACCCAACTTCTTAACACTGTTGTATTGGCAATGATTTGGGGGGGAAATCAACACTGCCTATTTCAAATCACTTTAGTGAGCCTCTCTCAATAATGATGTATCCAAATGAGAATTTAAGTCAGCATCACGCATTGCATCTGGCTTAAATATTGCTTAGGTATTTTAAAGTCTAAAAAACCTTTAAAAAATTAGCTACTAATTTACTTGTATGCTGTTTGTCCCATTGTTTTCTGACATTGTGCAGCTTAGCTGCTGCTTCTGTCCTCCATATTTTCTGCAAATTGGAAGTTTGGTTGACTCGTGTTTATGAATTTAGTCTAGAACGCATGTGTGCATTGTTATCTGTTTGTAAGACAATGCTTTCCACCTAGTGCCTACCATTACTGAAGCTCAGATTATCTGAGCGCACTATGTATGTCTGTTTTGTTATTGTTGTTTCATTTTTGGTTTTGAGGTAATGGAGATTAAACCCAGGGCCTTAGGTCTGAATTATATCCCCTTTTTAAAACGTTTTGCTAAAGCACTGAGTTGCCAAGCTGGGCTTGAATTTCAGTGCTCCTGCTCAGCCTTGCACAATGCTGGGATTACCGATCATGCACCCTTTCCTACCCAATTATACCTTTCCTTTTGTAAGAAGTTCTAAAACAGAACATGCCAATGTATGGAGATGCAAATCAGGACAATTTTGATTGCCTTGGAATGGTAGGAATTGACCAGAAAGGAGTTGACAGAACTTTGTGGAGTAACAGCAGTGCCCTGGTATCTCTCTCCTCTGAGTGTTAGGATGGCCTCCCCACTTGTTGCTGTAACATGAAGATTTCCCTCTTGGAGTCAGAAAGTGTTTTGTGTGGAGTCTTTTAATTCCAGACAGATGCAAAGTCTCTCCTCAGCCATTCCTCTCACTGTCAGATCCACTTAACAATTTTTGCTTTAATTGATATTCAGTAGATACTTTTTAAATGTTTTCATTTTCTTTATATTTATTAGCTGTCATTCTTTGATAAAGAAGAGCTTTCTTTAGTCAACTATCTGTTTGTTGCATTGAAAAACATTTTGTACTGGGGAAACAGGAAACTGCTTTGCCCTTTAATTATCAATTTCAAAGAGAGGAATTCATGAATAACTTCAGTGATGATGACTGGTTTTTTCCTAGCTGTTTTCTTTCTGTCATTATTAGGAGCTCAAAGTTTTTCACAAGTTCATTGTACTTCAGCAGAAGTGGGATTACCGAGTCTTAAGAATCTTAAATCCATAGTTTTCTTAATACTTCCAGATTATTCTCCAAGAACTCAAATTCTTAATCCTATGCTAAATAGCTTCTTGAGGTCTTGGACACATCAGACAGATGAGTGCATACTGATAATGAAGTCTTGGGCTGGGGATGTAGCTCAATGCCAGAGCACTTTGCTTAGCATGTGTGAGGCCATCAGTTTGATCCCCATGATTATAAATACAACGCAAATAAAGTCTAGGAAAAAAATACTAGCAACACTAAGATGAAAATATGGCACAACTAGAACTATTTTGTGTTACCAGTGGAAGCATAAGTAAAAATATTTTGGGGAATCGTTTTGCAGTTTCTTTATAGAATTAAACCTACCTGTGTCCTCTAATTTAAAAATAAAATCTCTAGTTGTTTACTAGAGAGAAAGATATTTTTGTGTGCATACTGGGGATTGAACCTGGGATAGATATACACTGAGCTATATCTACAGCCCTGATTTATTCTTTATTTTGAGACAAAGTCTTACTAAATTGCCCAGGTTAGGCTCAAATTTGTGACTCTCCTGCCTCAACCTCCTAGAGTGCCGGGATGAAAGGAATATGCCGCCAAGCAGGCTTGAAAATACGTTGCTTTGTTTTTAAAGAATTCAAGAATAATGTTCATAGGGACCTTATTTTTAGTACTTGTGCCGCCAAAGCAAGCACATGGGGGCCTTATTTTTAATAGCCACAAACTGAAAGTAATGCAAAAGTCTAACTATGGTTCAGTATGTAAATATCAATTGTGATATACAGTTGAATATAATTCAGAAATTAAAAGGAATTAGATATACTGAATCAGGCAGTAATATAGATGAATCCCAAAATAATTATGCTAACAGTGCCAGACACACAAAAGCACATTTTGTGTGATTCTATTTGTATGAAGTTCTAAACTAACAGTACTGATCTGTGGTGATAGAAATCAGAAAGTAGTTCATTCTGGCAATGGTGGACATTAGCTGGACAGGAATATTCTGGGGTAATGGCCCTGTTCCATATCTTAACCGAGTAGTAATTGCATATATGTACATAGTAGTCAGAATTTAAAACTGAATACTTAATATGTGTACAGTATTTATATTACAAAATACAAAATATGATTTCACGATTTAAAAGTGCGGCCTTCAGTTTTCTTTTAAGAATGCTCAGACCGTTTTTCCCATTACCCAAGCCCTGATGCCTTTTTGGTCTGGATCTTTTAACATTGTTCCCCTCTGACCCAGCCTTGCACGTGGCTGCCCATGCATGCCTCATATAGTTGCAAGTACTAGCTCCCCACGTGAATTGTCAGTGCCCTAAAAGTGACTTAAAAGTATGTTTCATTACACTTTTTAACAATGGCTATCTATCTATGGTTCATATGAGTAGAATCAAATCACCTGGTGTGTTATTCAGCTTGGGCTGCCTAACCCAAACAGTGCATGGAGCCAGCGGTGTAAATAATGGAGGGCATTTTCCCAGCTCTGGACTAGAAAGTCCGTGGTTATCATGCTGGCATGGTCCAGTTCTGGTGACGATATTTTTCTTGATTTGGAAACAGCTGCCTTCTCACTGTTTCCTCTCAAGGCAGTGAGAGAGAGACTCACAAACAGAGAGAGTCAGAGACAGACAGAAATAGAAACCCAGAGACAGACACAGAAAGAGATCTGGTGTCTCTTCTTACAAAGCCCCTGATTCCATCACGGGGCCTCGAACTTCATGACCTCATCTAAACCAAATTACCTTTCCAAAATCCCTCCTGCAAGATGTCACCAAATTGAGGATTAGGGCTTCAGCTGAATTTGGGAGATACACAATTCAACCCATAGCACCTGGGAAATGTTAACAAAAGAGCCAAGCTTGAATCACATCCCCAGAGATTCCCATTAGATGTTTTGAGGTAGGAGTTAGGCATCTGTATTTATTTCTACTATGCCTTACTGTTTGCTGTGAGCTCTGTGACCAGCACCATTAACATCCTATTAGAGTGCAGATTCTCTGGCCCCACCCCAGGCTTGCACATGGTAACAAAACCTCTCAGTGATTCATTTGTACCACAGTTGT